AGATGGATCACATATAACACATTTGTTTTTCTTTCTGTTATTTTCTCCAATGTTTGTGTTTCTGCTAAAATCTATCCACTTACGTAATGCTGTATACCGATGACTGACATGTTTTCAGTGCTTTATACACAGAATGGTGGATTTTTAGTGTGCTATATACACAGAATAATATTGGACTAGAATTTGCCTGACAATCTCAAACAACAATAACACATTTCAGAAAATCCAATCTCCCCTGAAATCTATTATTCTTAATAGTGTTTGCTAATTTAATGCCATTTCTGATTTAAGGGAAAGGATTTCAATTACTAACCCACATCTCTGGAAGTATTAAACAAACAAAACCTAAATACACAAAACTCATGTTTGCTGACACGGTAGTATTTTTCTTTCATTTCTCTCTCACCCCCACTCCTCTTTTGGCACTGTTAACCATCATTTAAGTATTTACACATGGGGCTACCAAGAATACTAAAAAAAAACCCTTGAAAGTATCTGATAAAAGTAACTTGTCTGAAATTTAACACAGTTAAAAAGATTTAATGCCAAGCTTGGAAAATCTGCCTTTCTTGAGAACAAATGATGCATCTGTTTGTGACATCCAGGACCTCTTTATTTCTTAACAATTCAAGGCAAGGCTTTAAGAGCTGCACTTTAAATCACAGGACTACTCTGTTAGGCCAGAAGGTGAAAAGAAAAGGATAGCAGATCCAGTTTGGAGTTTCGGAAAAGCAGCAGCAGAATGAAAACTTTTATACGGCCAAGTCCATTTGAATGTTCTCTTTATGCTTAAAATAGTCAGCAGATATTTTATTGATCGAGTACAAGAAACGAATATTATTACACTAAAACAAGAGTATCTATCTATCTGTCTGTCTGTCTGTCTACCTACCTACCTACCTACAAGGGCAAATAACTCTCCGTTCAGTTATCAATGACAGACACTCGCAGATACATAACTTTTATTATACACATTAGAAAACTACAACATTACATTACTTTTCAACATAATCGCCATTCAAACTGAGACACTTGTCATAACGTCTTACAAGGTTTGAAATTCCTTAGTCTCTCGGTGCCAAATCTGGGCTATGGGGGTGGTGGTGGTGATCAAAAACATCCCAATGGAACTGCTTCAAAAGTTCTTGGGTGCATCTCTCTCTCTCTCTCTCCCCTCCCTCCCTCCTCCAAAATGAGGCTGCATGAGCTATATCTTAAAACACAGTTCTATTCTGGAGGGAATGAGGGATAATTGGCAGGGAGAATCTCTATGAGGAAATAGAGATAGTTGGAGAAACAACTAGCATCTTCTCTATTGACTTTTTCCATATAAAGCTCAATGGGACTGTATACTGCCATCTTAACTATTGTTGTCAAACCTTTGTAGTTTGTGAAAAAAACGTTTAGTCAAGAGTAAAAAATGGGAATGTAGCAGTAATTTCTCAATTCTGAGATGCTAGTTCAGTTCATATCACATACCAAGCTTTGTTTGCGTATTTTAACGCCATGTCATAACACATCAGTACTGGTGTCATATTAATCAATTCATCCTTATTTATTTGTTTAATTTCTACAGCTGGCCATCTCAGACAAGGGACTCTGGATGGCAATAATAAAAAGAATGAAAAGCAATGATACCAGAGTACAAAAATAAATATATATACATAGCAGTCAAGATTTTTTTTGGGGGGGGTGACCTTGTATTTTGTGTTAAATCTGGACCTTGGATGACACCCACGTACAGTCTGTTTGATTTACCATCAGGTCTAGCTTGATCTTGTGAACTACTGTACTAGGAAATATTGGAAAGAAATTCAGAGTCCGAAAAATGTTTAGAGGTCATACTGGCACTTGTTGTATTTGTTCGTAGCATGTCACACTATTCTCCCAAAATAGAGAGATTGGGGATATTTTTCTTTTAGAGCAGGCCACTGGACAATGAAGTAATCTGAAAAGTGGTAAAGAATTTTTCCTGACAGAGATAGGTTTTCAACACGGCAGATGCTCTCGACATACACAATGGTTATTTTCTTTAGTCCCAGTATTTTGAGTAAAAAAGCAGATAGACATATGGGGACGCACGTTCCTGGGCCATTGCACAGCACCTAAAAAGAAAAAAAAAGCTCATCAAACCTTCCAGAAATCTTAAAAATATATTAGCAGCAAGTATGTACGGTAGATATGCACAGTACATTCGAAAGGACTATAAAATGAATCCAGATTTAATATAAAATACAAAGAAAAGGTAAAAAAGTAATGTTGACATAGGAATAAAATTTAAACGTTGGAAAGATGCACTTTAGCATGTTGAAAAGGTGATTGGATCAAAGATTTAATCAATGTTCATCATCTTGAATAAGCAGCTTTGTAAGCCAATCAGAACTGGTATGCCTTTTATATACTTTGGCCTAAGTGAGGAGATGACTCACTGCCCTTCCGAATAACTCATATTGGGAAACACAGTTTTAAAAAGACAGCTTTTTGGACAACCAGGAAGAGAGAAACCTCATGCTTTAGTTCAGTGGTTCTCAACCTTTTTAATGCCGCGACCCCCAACCGGTCGTAAGTCGAGGACTAAACCGGTCGTAAGTCGAGGACTAAACTGGTCATACGTCGAGGACTACCCAACCGGTCGTAAGTCGAGGACTTTCCCTGCCCGGGAGTGCCACGCATGCGTGGTTCCGCCCCCTGCGCCGGCCGAGGCGTAGCTGGCAAGCGGCAGAGACGGAGCAGGCCGACCACCAGCTGGCCCAGCCCAAGGGAGGTAAGGCACCCACCGGAAAAGGGGGGAAAAATGGCGGACAAAAAAAAATGGCGGACAGCCTTGCTTGGCGACCCCCGTGAAATGGTCGATCGACCCCAAATGGGGTCGCGACCCATAGGTTGA